AGGCAGAAGCTGCAGGAAGACAACTGCTATGACAAGGACTTTCTCCACATCTCACACCCATGCTTATTAGTAGGAACAGGAAATAGGTTTGGCTGAGCATGTGCTACACTGTACACCAGCCTGCGCTACGGAGCTGTTCCCAGGACCCTTTAGGAAGTTCAACACAGCTCAGGGGGGTCGAATGTCAAGGCTTAGAACTTTACGGACCTGAGGAACCAATCCAGTAATGCCAATCAAATCAAAGTGCATCTTTCATTCTTTGCCAGTGCAAAATAGATATTATTTTATTTCCCTCTGTGCTGAGGGTCCAGGACACTTCACCGATCGTAGTAACATCAGCCAACAATCCTCAAGTTTTCGTTTTACACTCACAAATACATTTAAATAAAATAGGTGCATGTCTTCTGAATGACTAATGGTTATATAATTAAAGTGAGTGCTCGGTTTTGGAACATATTCTCTTTTAACTTTCTTCTAACTTTGGTTTAAATCCATATTACAATGTCATATCTAACAACAGGGTTTGGATCCACGGCATTGTTCCTGTAAAGAGCTGTTGTCCGTGCCATCAATGATGATTTGAACGGTTACATTTGAGTGACAGCTCAGTGCTTTGTCTAACAGTGGGGCGTTATTTTTACCACAGTCGTCTCGAAACATGGACAGGTTCTTTCCAGTCCATCCTGGTTTGAAACCCAGTTTTTCTCTTTTTGACCAAGCCGTTTGAATTACCTCATCTCTTACACACTGACAAATAAGTCTCTTTATGTGTCTCAGTGCTGTGATTTGATTGGCTGATTAGCATACCAGGAGGCGAGGGATGCTACATTACATTAATTTTTTTATCTGTTGTTTGACGCATATGGAGCACCGGACAGTGACCATTAACAGAAAGGTGGTTGTACAGAATCATTTGGATGGTTAATGGTTCCAGCTCATCTGAGAAGTGTGTGCGGGATCCACACTCACAGCATGAGTGATATTCACAGTTAAGACGACGATGTCTCACCAACACAGAAGGTTTAATTGGGAGGAAGAAATTAAAACTTGTTTTTTAACATTTCACTTCATTTTCATGTTCTGTGCTGTGACCCACACTCTGACACTTAGCCCAGAATCTTGGCAGCACACCCAGGTTTGTTGTGATGGGTTTTTTTGTTTTTTTTTTTGTTTTTTTTTTTTGTTTTTTTTTTTCAAAAAACTTTTGGAAAGTTTAGTTTGGTCGCTGGAAAGATGGGAAAAGGTTCAATAGTAAGCCAAAAATACAATGCCAGATCTCACAAAAATGTACAAATAAAGCTTATTGTAAAGTAAAAATCCTTTCTACAACCACTAACTTTGAAAAAAATGAAATGAAATGAAATTAATATGCTGCCCTGCGATCGACTGGACCGGTGGCTGCTGGGATTGGCTCCAGATTCCACACAAGCCTGAAAAGTAAAGCGTGGCATTAGATGAATAAATGACTATATTAAATTCCTACAGTACGTGACTCACTTCTTAACTTGTCAATGATATAAAAAAAAATGTATGGATTTAATTTTTAAATATAGGATTCTAAAAAAGCACCATATCTATCTGCTCCCAAAACTTTTTCCAATATTGGACCATAGCCCCATTTTGAACATCAGATATCATCATTATCATTTTTATTAATCTACTATGAACTTATCTGGTTAAGTCCCTGGCAGGGTAAGTTTTGGACAATTCATCCGCCCAGCAAAGATTTAAAATTTCAATAACAGCTTGACGCTGCCAAATGTAAGGCACTGTGGTTGTGGTCAGTTATCTCTTTATTGTTAATGTAACTCCTAACTCATTAGCTAATGACATTATTCGTGAAATAATTTTTGTTCATTAATTTTCTAAAATGTCACCCTTTAATAACACTCAATCTGCAAGGATTAACTTTGACTTATTGTGATTGGACCACTGGTCCGCAGTGACATGGACGCCATGTTGCTTCAACAGTTACATTTGCTAATTGTCTCCAGAAAGCGATGTGTCAGATCTTTATTTATGTGTGTGTGCGTGTGTGGCCCGGTGTGTGCGTGGGTTCTAAATCGACAGAGGAATCCAGGATATCTGAGTGTAATATTAGATGCCAGATGAAGTAGGGTGTTGATTAGTGTTGTTATTAATACTGCTGGAGGTCACAGCTGAAAGGCATCAGTGTACACAGTCTGAGAATTGAAGAGGAGGATGAAGTGAAGGGCTGCGTCTTCTAACGTCACCTCAGTTTTGTTTTGTTTATTTTAATTCAAGTTGTTGTGAATATTCTGTAATAGGTTTGGCTCACTAAAGATACATACATATTATACATATTTATTTATTTATTTAACTGAAGTAGAATAATCCATCCCAGGGACCATCAACATTTTTGGGGGCAGGTACCCCTACCATATAAATCCTTTTTGACATTCAGTAGAGTTGCAGATCTTCAATGGGCCACATCCCACCTGTTGAAAACCCCTGATTTTATGTGAGTTCTATTCCTGCAGTGTCATGTAACTGACGTTTCACTGTTTATTTTCTGATCAATAAGTCAGAGACGCCAACTTCTCTCCTCAATTTTGAATCATATTGACCAGCTGTGGCTTCACTCGGCAAACATATTAAAATCTATACACTCCCTGACTCCGTACCACTGAGGAAGTAACCCCGGCACTGATGCTTTAACCAAACATTGATTGCTGTAAATTAAGGAAAATCTATAAATCCCACCATATACAGTATCTGATGGAAACCTCCCAGTCACATAGTGTGTGTGTTATTAGGTGTAAATAAAGATATATGTGGAGTCAGGATCATGAGGTCATAGATCATTAATTTAAATTTAAATTCACACCACGACCGTTTCATCTGCGTGCTCATTCTTCACTAGTGGCACTTTAGGAAAACAAAAAGCTCCAGCGTTGCGGTGGAGTTCGGCCTCAAGAAGGCAGTAGGAAAATTGTTTTGTGAAAAATGTGCTCTAGTGGACTGTGAATTAAATATATGTGGACGAAGTCACTCCTGTTTCCCACACAGGCTCGTTCAGCACTGGGATGTAGATTGTGCTGCTGCTGCACTTGATTAAAAAAGGTGAAGTTTCTTTCTTTATTTACAAGAGTCCATGAAGAGTGTTTCTTTTTAATTTGCTACACACTCTTTATTTACAAGAGTCCATGAAGAGTCACAAGTGTTTCTTTTTAATTTGCTACACATGTGCACTTAACTCTGAATCAATACAAGAGTTGTTTAGTTAATGCTTGAAGGTTGAATTGTTGTCTGCCTCTAACGCTGACTCAACATGTTACTCAGATTACAGTTCACTCTGTCACACCAGATTTTTTTTTATCATGCTTATACAATCAATTTAATTTAAGGGCTGAAATCTGATTAATCACTGGGTAGCTTTAGACAAATTATAATTAATCGTGATTAATCAAGATCATAAAACACTCAAATGGCTTCATGTATTTCACTTTTTTCTGTTTTTATTTTTATTTATTTTTCTGTCATGGTTTGTGATTGATCCAAATGGTGAAATTATGAAATGTTAGAAAAAAACATATGCAAATGTGCATCTTAATGCTGGCTTGTAGAATGCATCAAGACTTGGTTGAAGGTTGGTTTTTTTTGGTTTTTTTTTGGTAAAAAAAGAACTTCATGTCTGTTTTATCTGCAGAGCAGGACTTAGCAGCTACATCTGTTAACTGATGTTTTTGATTTCACAAGAAGCGAGTTCTTGACAAGAATATTAAAATAAACTTCTGATGCTTTGAGCATATATTTTGTTCTACTCTTGTAGTGCCGCGGTCCATCGTTCTTTGATGTCTGCCAGAGGATTCTGTCAGAATAATCTGTGGAATCTAGAACCACTGCACTTCGGTTACAAATCATTGAACACAGTGTATTTTCTGGACCGTGCTCCAAGACAAGAAACATCACAGTGTTACCAGCTGCGTCACCAGATCTGGCATCCAGCTCCCACTGGGTGTCAGTCTGAGGTGACTGCTCCACTGTTGTGCACCAACCGGGGTCACCTGCCAAAGTCATGCCCACTTTGCTGCCTTGCTAATCTACTCTCTTGTACCTTAGATCACTACAAAGCAGTGTGCACAGCCAGGGCTCGGAAAGTCAGTGGAATTTGCATGTTAGTCACATCTACTGTCGCCTTGCATTACAGCTGATATTCATTCTCATTGATTCCAATGCCTCACATTTACATTTATTCATTAGGCAGATGCTCATCTCCCTTCTCTCCTGTGAACGACTTTTCAGCCCAGGCTTCTTGGTGTAATTCTCCCAGAGTATGCAGCAAAAACAAAAAAAAGCCACAGAATTCTCATTCACATTAGTAAATGACTGAAGATTAAACTAGTTGTGATTACCAGATAATTAAGTAACAAATAAAAAGTACATTTGTGGAATGGGGTGTGAAAAAAAGGGAGGAAAAAATAAAATACAAATATGTTAAGATTTCTTAGAATGGAAAGAGATGCTCAATACATTCTATTTTGTTTGTTTGTCTTTGTCACTTGCAGCATATACTGTATGTGAATAAATGCCATGTGATGTACGACTCGTCTTATTAAGACTGGCTCATATTTAGAACTTGAAGTAAGTTCAAGATCAATGCTGAGCCGTGGTCTCCTCTGAAAAAAGTGAAAAAGTCATCAGAAAAGTGTGGGTCATTGACGCGTCATTGTGTTTCTTTACTACAACATCAGCACCTCTGCAGCAGCTTTGCACTTTTTAAGGTCGTTATCAAAGGTTGCCCGTTCCTAAAATTAACATTGTGTCAAAAACAGAACTTTTAGAGGCAGAAAACTGCATTTTGAAATTACTCTGATTCATCACCAATTTTTCTGGTCTTGGTAAAAACATATTGTGATGAGTGTGATTGGACCAACGGAAATGTCAATTTCAGAAATTCAGATTTCTTCAGGTTTTTTTTCTTTCTTACTCTCTTACCTTTGTCCCACTAAACCTCATCATTCTTGCTCTGCCCACAGGTGTTATGTTGATGACAAAGTGTCCAAGGTGGCTTGGCTCAATCGATCCAACATCATCTTTGCCGGCCAGGACAAATGGTCCCTGGACCCCAGAGTAGATCTGGTCACCAAAGGACAGCTGGAGTACAGCCTTCGCATACAAAAGGTAACGGAGTGGAGAGAGTGGATAAAAGGACAGAAATGCACCACAAAGTACCATCAATGTAGTGGGTACTACAAGGAGATGATTGATTTTCATTAGGATAGTATATGTATATATGATTCCCCAGTTGAAAAACATTAAAACATTTTTGCATATTGAACCATGAAAAACATTTGATCACATAATGACGTGTGCTGTTAAAATACAGTATGTATCAACTTTATTATAATTACATTTTTTGTGTCCTACTGAGGCACTAACAGAAAATATATTTCTATTAAATAAATGTTTATATTTAAAGACCTTATTGTCCTTATAATAATAACAATAATAATAATCATCATCAATAATAATAATAAAAATAACAATTATTAGTATTATTATTCAGTTGGAACACCATGTCCAAGTCAGTAACTTGGTGATTAACCCAAAGACTGACAGCAACTGAATATACTGAAAAAAATTCACTCACTGTATTACCAAGTAGTCAGTGTCTGAATATTTACACCACAAAGAAGGCATCTTTGGAAGCAAATGGCTCTCTTGTACTGTCATAAACAAATGAAGAGATAAGTGAGAGCGTAAGTGAAAGGAGTAAAGTTGTCTCTCTGTTGATTATGGTTCCAAAAAACAGTGAATGCAAGGTTCTAGTACCAGTCCTGGCACAGTCTCATCTTGTCTGAGTGTAGACATTAGCAGTGTGTGTTAGCGTTTGTTACAGACAGATGGAAATCAATTTGAAGTGAAAGAGACTATTGTCACTGTGCCCGAAACTAAAGTGCGACTATTTGTTTATTCTGCTCCTGTGAGGAGTCCGTCAAAAAAGGGGCGAAAACCAAACAAAGTTAAAGGGAATGAAATTTGGAGCCAATATTTTTAAGTGTCTGAAAACAGTGCAGAGAAGAGTCTGAATTCTCAGGTTTGCACTTATTGTGTCTGAAATCACTTGTTAGCACAGTTAATGAGCTGCTAAGAGAAGCGCTGCCGGTGGCTGCTGAGCTGCAGGTTTTTCACTCGCTGGTGGAAAAACATAAGGTTTTTTTTCCTCCTTTATTATGAATAATTTTGTGCAAAAACAGAATGTTTTTAGAAAAATCAGAAAAATTATTGTTTTTTCTATTGCTAAGAACCAAATTATTGAGATTGAGGAATTTTAATATCTGTATATATATATATATATATATATATATATATATATATATATATATATGTAACTGAACTAGAATAATCCATACCAGGGATAGTCAACATTTTTTCACCAGGGACCCCTACATTATAAATCCTTTCTGACATTTTTGAACCCCCTACAGTAGCGTTGCAGATCTTCAATGGACCACGTCCCACCTGTTGAAAACCCGGGATATACTAATTGTGGATGGAATTAATGAAAGTCACTGTCGTTGTGTAGGTGGATGTGTACGATGAGGGCTCCTATACCTGCTCCATACAGACCAAGCAGCAGTCCAAGACTTCACAGGTCCATCTTATCGTACAAGGTAAGAATTTTTATACAATATTAACTAAAACGGGGAGTAGAACCATATATTTTACGAGTATATATATCCAGGGTTCTTATAAATAAATGGACTAAACTAACCACATGTCACATCCTACAGAAACCTAACTACATTTAGTCACATTCCAGGAGATATTTCAAATGTGACAGCCGTCATTGTCCAACAACCCAGACGTCACTGTCACATTCCCTCTATGGTATCTGCAGCCTTTTCTCTGAATACCTTCCTTCACAAAGAGCCCAGCAGCAAAGCTTTTTCATCTTTGAGTTCAAATTAATCTTTAAGTGCACTGGAAAGCCTTCAGTGGCAACTGTCAATTGCAAAAGGCATTTGTTGATCACGTATAGAGATAGCAAGAGAGTGAGAGGGAACGATGATCAGCGGTAAAGTACAGGGAGGATGTTGCTGCAGCATTTAAGCCCAGGAGCTGCTTTTTCAAATCACATTTTAAGGAACATTTTTCCAGCTTTTTAAAGGTTACATTCCAGGTTTGAAAGCTATAAATTATGAGACAAAGCAAAGAGCTCCACCGTCATCAGACTGTACCTCAGAGAACTGGTTACAATATGAGCCATATAAACCTTTCTGGCTTTGTTTTCATTTGGCAGTTTTTCCCTGTAGATACAGGAAGTTAAATACCGTTCATTAAGAATAAAATGCTTACAAATGCCATGTGGATACAAATGTTAGGATAAGACACAAAAATGGGCCACAGGAGTTTAGAAAGTCGATCCCGGTGGACATTAGGCAGAAGTCACTCTGGCCTGATGTGCAGTGAAGTGTTTTGTTTTCACGATCGCACCAATCGTCCTGGTCGTCGTGACAATCCCTCGCCCACCGTTTCCCAAAGTAACGACCGGTGGATCTGCTGGTTTAATCCCAAGCAGTTGTCCGTGGTGACAGTTTCCCCGTATTTTCATATCCTTTGTAGTGCTCCGCCGTGCTTCATACGCCGTTGGCGTTCTCGCCTGTGTGGTCACAAAATGCCCAATTATGCAAACAAACAAGGTTGGGCCTCCGCAAATCACTCCTTAAATCTTTGTAAGTAAACCCCACAGAAAAACAACGGCAGAGATTGTCATCCACGTCGCCGCGGGAGCAGAGACCAGACTGTGATCATCACATTAGAACAGAGGTTTTATTTGGACAAACGTCACCACAGTACGTCGGAGCCTATTATCTTAACCGGCCTTGGCATCATTCTAATAGAAAAAGGTTGGACCCGTTCTCGAAAGACTGTTTTAAAACAAAAAAATAAAAAGTACCATACAGCTATAAAAGTTTCTGTGTCCAATTATAGATCTGCCTCTGTCAGTTAACACAGTTATTATTGTCACTCATCATGTATTTCATTAACTCTCCACCACTGCAGTATTATCCGTAGTCACAGAAGTCCACCCACTCCTTCCCCAAAGATTTCACATCATCCGATATAGTCGTCTGTTTATTGTCCCCAAAATTAGAACTAACTTCAAAAAAGCACTTTCCAGGTTTTGTGAAACACAGACCATAAAACCCTGGTAAATTCCTCCACGGCTCCCGCCGCTTTTATTTTAAATCAAGAGAAAAGAAGAAGTTTTACGCCACTCTGCCACTGCTTAAGCTTAATTTTTTTACCCCCCATTTTTATGTTGTGTTTTATTACATTTTTAAATCCCGTTTATATGCATCTTTAAGATTGCCCTGGGTGTCTGACGTTTTTTCTATCCCAGCGTTTTGAATAGCCGACTTTAAAAGGCAGAGACTGGAGCACAGAGAAGAATGTGCCTTATCTCACTAAAGTGCTGCTATTAAAGCAGAATTATCATCTGCTGGAAGTGGCTCACTTGTTTACTCTATAATACCTTTTTTTTCTGTATTTAAAATACCTTGTGCTTTTTATCACCTCACTTGCCTCTGTGAAATACTTACACTGCCCTGCAAGAACCAAATTGCCCCCTGAAATTACTCTGCACATATTGTACATACATTAGCCTTTATCAAAACATATTGATGCATATATTTAATGCTTTTAATTCAAAATTGTAAAATCTTATGTTGGTCAAATAATTTACCAAAAAAAAAAGGTCTCTAGTATAACAACAAACCATCAATCATCACGCGAAATGTCTAGTAATTAATAAAATGAATGCTGCGGTGTTATCACGAGATACTGACCAAACTTTTTCCAAAGTGTGTGAGCACTCTGCAACTAAAACTTTCCTATCAAAAAGTTATCTACTTGATATTTGATTTGACACACTGTTAGTTTTGATTTTGCTGTTACATCATTTCAACAATATACATTATTAAGAATGCATTACACAAAGTCACTGCATTCGTTTCTGTCCAAATCTGCACTTACAGTAGGATTGCAATTTGCATCCAGGCTGTGAGTGTTGGATCGCTGCTGTTGGTCGTCTGAAACAGACACCAAAGATTCTCATTAGGGCTGAGGTCCAAACTCGCTGACTCGTGTCTTCTGAACCTCTTTGTCATAATTTAAGCTCAGTGAATCCTCTAAATGTCAGCTTGGAATATGACCGTGTCATTATTGAAGTAGCATTCACTGCAAAACCGGCTGATTGCTTCATCCTCCTCTTACCCTGGTGTTTCCATCAGTCTGAAACTGAAAGAAATTGGAATCCTGACCTTTCACCTTCCCTCCAAACTCCAAAAATATAAATTCAAGAACGTCAGAATTCAGTGATAATTAATATACAACTGCCATTAATTACTTCATTTTAATCAGTCTTATTTGAACACCATGTGTTTCTTCAGTGATGTTTACAGTCTCTGTTTACAGACAGTCTTTTTGTTTTGTTTTTACACCCGTTTTCTCCAACAGAGCGCCACCATGCTACTCTGATGGTGGGTGATAATGATTTCATTCAGGAGTAAACACAATTTAAATTAGCATTAATCATGGTGTTACTGAAAACAATAATTTAATAAACCACGGATGAGAAAACACCAAACTGCAGTGCAATGCTTTTTGGAAGAATTTATTTTTAAATGAAATAATGTTGAATTGTTTTTTTGTTTGTTTGTTTTCCTTAATAAATGCATCGAGGTTTGATGTAGATTTCAACCAGTTGACCTGAAATTGTCCCAAACCTCAAGTCCTAATCTGGTCTCAAAGTCTTTTGTGGGCAGATCTGAAGTCAACTCTTGAGTCTTTGTGCGACTCAAGGCCTCAGACTCGAGGAGACACGATCATGAGCAGCGTTAGTGACTTCTACTATATAACCTAGGAAAAAAAATCCCATTTGTCCTCTTGCAGTTATTAAGGTGTCATCTTCTCCCATTCATGATAAACTATTGTGGGTAGAAAGTGACATTTTAAAGGATTACTGATGTCTACATCACTTCCTCTAGATCTTCTCTTTCAGTTCTTTTCCAATAAAGCCCAAACTCTAAATATGTATACCGAGCTCTGCTGTTATTTCAATAGCCTTCTCGGGAAATTGTCGTACAGCTATCTATGAAATGAAATATCATCCATTCGTATTGTTTAAAGGTCAATACATGAATTGATGCCTCTCTTCAGGGATCCACGGCAGGACATTTTCCTCTACTCTCCAGAATCCATTGTGTACAATTATCTAGTCGTTGATCACAGGAATCTCCTGCATTTACCTTCAGAGGTTCACGGGTCCTCATTCATCACAACTAATACGACGGTTATGGCTGAACATTGATTTTGCTGCTTTCTATCCCAGCTGTTTTGCCCAGTGTTTCTAGCGTCCTGATCATTTTTTGCCCATTCTTGTTCAAATTGTTTTGATATTTTCCCTACTACTGTGTGTAAGCTAAATTATCTCTGTGAGGCTCAACATCTTTCATCTTATTGGCTGTGCTGCTCTCTGTAAATGGATAACTACTGTGATCATCAAATTTACTTTAACAGTGGGACAGTGTGGATGAAATTCAGAAATCAGATGAATCAGACACAAAGATGGAAGACAGATACAGAAATGCTTACAGATGGAATAGATGCAACAATTTCCTCACTAGATTCATTAGTTTTTTGAATGCTCATTACTCCATGTACAATGAACAGGAAGTGTGGCCTTCCTCTTTGGAGTTATTTTTCTATAAGCTGCATAAAACCTAAACCAACCCCTGCAAAACCCAATCAACTCTGCAGGATAATAATTCACCCTGCCTTCCTTTTTTAATGGGTACGAAAATGTTCTGAGCTTCAAATATCGCCCCTGGTTACAGACCCAAAACGGGGCTCACATAACCAAAGCTGACAATTTTCTGCTAGCAGGGACAGGGAAGTAATTGGAAAACAAATGATCAGACGAAATACATTTGCAGTGGATGAGAGAGTGGGGGAATCGAAGGGCCCAGATGACTGGTAGCAAGTGGCAGGGTCACTGGAGCTGCCAAGAATTCCAGTACAGTGACAGGTTTCTCAGCAGAGTTCAGACTGATTTTTGTGAAACGTGGGAGTTTAGCCAAAGGGGGAAGCACCCTTGGTCTCGTTGAATTTCATGTCGAAATTTAAAAATCCAAAAATGAAGTTGGTCATTTAATGAATGATGGTACATTTCCCATGACAATGTCGCAGAGAGGCCTGTGGTCCTATAAACCAAAATAGCTTAACCTTTTAATATCACCTTCACTTTAAATATTCTGCACCAATCATAGAAAAATTGCCAAAATTCAAGTGAATTTGGGAATGTTTATATTTTGGATAAATGAGAAATTTATTATTCCTTGGATGTTGGAAACCAATATGCCTTTATGCTAATATCTGTAGAAAGACGCCTTCGTAGGCAGTGGGAGCGCCTGGGTAAACTTGAACCAGTTCAAGCAAAGAAAAAATTAATCTGGCATATAAAATTTATTTGAGTTTATTTTTTTTTTAGGACAAGTGTAACTACTGTGTTGTCTCTGTTTTTCTATCTACAGATAAACAGAAAAGAAACCTCACTCCGAGTCACAGTCTTAATTGACGTAAAGTCTCTTCTGTCACCATCATTAATTTG